CTAAATAGTCTGCCCTGCATGTTACGCGTTTCAGGGAAAATAAGAAAAATAAACAAAACCCAAAAAAAGTTCCCTTCCTTTGTAGTTACAGCACAACAAAATACCAGTGATTGATTTTGATTTTTGAAAAGGCCAGTGTTATACGGAAGAAATGAAATATTCTGGGAATGAGGGACCACCTAGCATCAGTTTATGGAATAGAGACTGCATCGTAAACGTTTGGTTATTCCGTGAATGGTCATCCCGTTTGTGGCCTATTCAACCATCTGCTTTTCCTCCCGCCCCTTAGCCATTAGCACGATGTGACTTTTTTGGCTCTTCTATAGACACAGGCTTGGTTCCTGGCTCTAGCCACTGAACAGCACGGTGCCTTTCGCACTGTGAAGAGCGACGAGGGTGAAAATTGCATTTGATCCTAGCCATCCGAGGAACACAGTTCCAGCTTTCTCGCAAGTCTCCGATCTATTTCTGGAAATGACATATTGGCTAAGCAACTGGTGCATTTCCCAAAGACCTCCTAGAGTTTGGAAGTAAAAGAGAAATAAACATTGACTTGTCAGTGATCTAATTTATGATGCTCATTTCTTAGGGAATAAAAGCTTCAATATGTGATTTTTTTTTTAAGTCTTTAAAGACAAATGGCGTTCTTTGCGGCGGCACCATTTTCAAGGATTGTATGCCCAGCGTTTTTCCTTCCTTCAACAATTCCATTTAAAGGGACAGACACTGTGCTAACTGTGTACGTTCTGGCACATTCTCATCCAACAACAGTCAAATCATTCATTACTCATCTCCTGGAAGATATCTTCCAACTCTATGGTCCCAAAGTATCAAATTGCTTTTCAATAATCGTTTTTCTAAAGCAGTTATTGTTTACAACAAATATTTAGTTACAACTATAATAAAGTGAAGAAAACTCAAGTAAATAGTTTAATTTTTGCCTATGTATATACACTTGTAATCATCATTCGGATCCTTAAACAAAACATGACTAGCATCCCTGAAAGCTCCATTCATACTTCTCTCCTATCAATACTTCCCCCCCAAAGTCTCATTCTGACTTCTATTGACACAGTTTGCTGCTGTCTGATCTTTAACATCAGATAAGTGGACACGTACTGTTGATATTGGGCTTTGTCTATGAAATCCACCAATATGGCTGAGTAAAATGGTAGGTGATTATTTTTCATTGCTGTATATTATTCCCCTGTGTCATTATAACACAATTTATTCTTCCATTTTAATCATGATGAATATTTGGAATGTTTTCAGTTTAGAAGTATTACCACCAGTGCTACTGTAAGCATTCTTACACATGTAATTTTTTTAATATATATTTTATTGATTTTTTTTTACAGAGAGGAAGGGAGAGGGATAGGGAGTTAGAAACATCGATGAGAGAGAACATCGATCAGCTGCCACCTGCACAATCCCTCCCCCACCGGGAATGGAGCCCGGAAACCCGGACATGTGCCCTTGACCGGAATAGACCCCGGGACCTTCAGTCCACAGGCTGACGCTCTATCCACTGAGCCAAACCAGCCAGGGCAAAAAGATGCTTTTAAAAGGAAAGCTCATGAGTATCATGGTGATTTTTAAAAATACTCTGTAACTTCCTCTCAGACAGATACGGCCTAGAAGTCCCTCTATTTAGTCACGTAACAATGACATCCAGGCTTTTTTTAGGGGGCGGTGGGGAGGTAATCCTGGGACAGTCAGGAACCATTCTTGATTTATTGCAATATCGCAGGCTTCCTCTTTTCCTCCCTTTCCAATTTTTGAACTGGAAGCCAAAAAACTAGTAACTGAGGTAGAGGCAGAACAGAGACTGATTGCAGTCGGTACGATTGGTTTGACAAACCCAGCTGGGGAATGGGGCCAGGAAGCTAGCCAATAGAGAAGAGAAGAAGCCAGTTCCCTCAGGAGGACCACGGAAATACAGGCATTATACTCATCTGACTCATCACCATTTCTAACGGGAACTCATCTATGGGGAGATGGATACGCACATATCCTTTTGGTAACAACAGAAGGTTTTTCTACATCGAAAGCAGAAGGCATACGATTACTCTCCAGCAGCACAATTATGACAAGTGTAACGTATGTCTCTGGGGGAGAAGAGAAACACACGTGCAAACTCAGGCCGGACTGGGGCTGAAAGAGACACACTTGGCGTCCGTACATGCAAGGCGCTCACTCGCCCTTCTAAGGCCTCGCCCCCTTTCTTCTCCACGGGGTCCCCTTTCCTGGAAGTTCGCTACATACTGGCTATCTTCCCCCACAGAAGGGCGGCCCAGTGAGGACCATTTGGCCCTCCCCCACCTTTCCTCCCCTTTTCAGGGGTCACCAGGAAGAAGGGAGGAAGCATGGCGAGGGTAGGGGGGATGGCTGTCATCGGCCTTTTTTTCCTGCCCCCCCACCCCCACACACACCTAGAAAAACCAGCCGACACTATGGGTTAAAGGCTAGTCTGGCTGGAATGAATGAAAAGTAATGAACCGATGATCACAACTCTCAATGCGTTAAATATGCCTTATTAATTAAAGGACCCAGGGCGGGGGGTGGGGATGAATTCAGGCACAGTAGCAATTCTATCCCTACCCACATCTCTTCAGCCACCCAAAAGGTGACTCACCCCAGGCTTTAAAGCAGTGGTTCTCAACCTTCTGGCCCTTTAAATACAGTTCCTCATGTTGTGACCCCAACTATAACGTTATTTTTGTTGCTACTTCATCACTGTCATATTGCTACTGTTATGAATCGTCATGTAAATATCTGATATGCAGGATGGTCTTAGGCGACCCCTGTGAAAGGGTCGTTTGACCGCCAAAGGGGTCGCGACCCACAGGTGGAGAACCGCTGCTTTAAAGAGACCATGAGCCAAACCGGTTTGGCTCAGTGGATAGAGCGTCGGCCTGCGGACTGAAAGGTCCTGGGTTCGATTCCGGTCAGGGGCATGTACCTTGGTTGCGGGCACATCCCCAGTGGGGGGTGTGCAGGAGGCAGCTGGTCAATGTTTCTCTCTCATCGATGTTTCTAACTCTCTATCCATCTCCCTTCCTCTCTGTAAAAAAATCAATAAAATATATTTTAAAAAAAAAAGAGACCATGAAATACACAGATCGTCACAGGTAGGTAACCCGATAGTTGTCAGAAACCCACTTCTGATCACATCACGGGAATGGCCCACTTGGGTTGTCAGGACTGGGAATAGATCAATGCACAATATTTTAGATCCGACCCCTCCACCTCCTTGTGTGAAAATACAGGAAGAAGAGGGATGGAATAGTATGGTATCACCCCTAAGTAATAAGGGATCCTAGGGCCTAGTCCAAGACGACTACATAGAGCTTTCTAGAATAAGGAACATCTTTTCAACTGTCAGCTTTCCTGCAAACCTTAGCAAGAGTCTTCATATAAAGATCCTACGTTCATCCCTTCAAATGACTTCTGTGTCATTAAAAAAAAAATGCAATAAAATACTCTTAGCAAGAGAGATGGATCCGCGTGCTTTGAGAAGAACATTTAAAAAGATGCTGGGCCCCTATGCAATAGTTTTTCTAATCACTCGAGTTTCTTAAGTGTCCGTGGAAGTTGGGTGAATAAAAGAAGCAAGGGCAATACCTAAACCACCAGAAACCGACAACGATCACAGTTTAAAAATACAATGTTGGTGGAAGTAAACACGGAAAAGAGAAAATAAATATAGGAGCAGAGCAGCAAGACCACACAGTGATGACAATAACATGTTCCATCAAGTCCTGGGTGGCCCAGTGAAAAGAAAAACCTATAGAAGACTATTACGAGCGGGGAGCGGCATGACTATTAAAACAGGCAGTGAAATCTGTGAAACCATACTAGTATGCCGGAGAATGGCAAACATGACTTATTCAGTTGGATGAAGAAAAAAGAGCGCCAACCCAAAACAAACCAGAAATTAATTGCTATTTGGAGTGAGTCATGTGTTGAACACCCATTCTGTAACTCTGCATGCGATGCCGGCTGCGAGACTGAAATGCTCATTGAGTCTCAGCATGGAATACAGAAGAGAGTGCAGATGATGAAACAATGCAAAATGTTCGGCACAGTTAAGAGCGTGGTACTTGTTCCTCTAGAAACATTAGAAGCTCAGTGGCCTGGCTTAAAAAGAAAGTTTGTAAGTGTATGAAAAAGACATCTAAAGCAGGCTTTTAAGTCCATCGTGTGGCCTATGATTTCACATTAGGTAAGAGAACAAGCAAAGGAAAGAGACTCGGGAACATAAGGGTTAGGATACTCGTGGTAAATACAGAACACAGGGGACGATATTTCCTGGGGGAAAAAGGGAACAAAATATATGGAACATGTTGCCAGGAAGAAAACTGAGCAATGAGAATAAATGATTCAAGAAGCACCTAGAAACGCTTTGGAGAATTGGGTGGGGGGAGCGTTTTATTTTTAAATATATAGAGACTTTTCACTTAGCATGATACTCTCCAGGTCCCTCCATGTTGTCTTAGAGGGTAAGAGAGTCCTCTCTCTCTCTCTCTCTTTTTTTTTAATTTCTGCATAGTATTCCATGGCATAAATGCACCATAGCTTTTTTATCCACTCATCTACCGATGGGCACTTGGGCTGTTTCCAGATCATGCTAAGTGACATGAGCCAGTCAGAGAAAGACCAGCACCACCTGATCACACTCAGTTGTGGAATCTAATTAACGAAATAAACTGACGAACGGAGTGGATCAGAGACACGGAGGCAGGGAACAGAGTGCGGAACCTCGGAGGGAAGGCGAGTTGAGAACACACGTCCCCGTCCCCTGCTCCAAATAAAATTTAGATTCCATTAATGAGCAAAAATCCTTCCTTTCTTTTTTGCATGAATGAGATTTTGATTTTCACAGAGGATCAGAATAAGGTAATGAATCTTAATGAACTTTCCAAACAATTCTTTTAATGAAAGGTCACAATCAGGCCCGAAACGCTGGCCACGTTGAGAAAACACGCCCAAGTACTCACTTGCTTAGCCTTGGTCTTCGAGATGGTGTCAGAAATCGGCTTCTTCCTCTCCTTTACTGCGGTTTTGGAAAACAGCTCCTCAAACTCGTGGCAATCTATGGACGGCTCTTCAATTTTTTCCCAGATCAGCGAAGCACCAGAGTCTCTAAAGTTAAGCAAAACACCAACTGAAGGAGCCAGGAGCTGGCGTTTAATACAGGTGCACCGTCCACAGGCAACCTGAGCTGTGACACGCGCTGGTGAGAGGCCACATGGAGGGAGAAGGGAGGACAAGAAGGGCCGAGGGATGAAAAGGATGAGAGGAAGCCGGGAAGGAAGGCAGCACCGGCGGAAGGAACAGAAGAGGCAAACGGGGAAGGAAGCGGGAGGGGAGAGAATACTCTTTTTCTTTAAGACCGCTGATGAGAAAGTTAAAATAGCATCGGCACAGAATGAAACCTCTGCTTAGAAATCGTAACGTCCAGGAAGGCTCCGTGATCAAGTCGGTGTGTACAAACATCTATATAATAAAAGCCTAAGCGACCCGTATGGCAGAACGACCAGTCGTTAAGATGCGCACTGACCACCAGGGGGCATACCCTCAACACAGGAGCTGCCCCCGGTGGTCAGTGAGCTTCCACAGGGGGAGCGCCACTCGGCCAGAAGCCGGACTCACACCTGGGGAGTGCAGCGGCGGTGGCGGGAGCCTCTCCCACCTCCATGGCAGTGCTAAGGAGCAGCGAGCCAAGCAAGGAGCAGCGAGCAGGCGGGTGGTAAGGGGCAAGGGGTCCTGGACATCCCCCAAGGGCTCCCAGACTGCAAGACGGTGCAGGCTGGGCTGAGAGATCCCCTCCCCCAGTGAGCGAATTTCGTGCACCGGGCCTCTAGTAAGAGAAATAAAAGCCCTCTCCGTGTGGGTGATAAAGGCAGGAAATGTCTGGTATCTCGCAACCCCGACTTGACTCTTATTCCCGGGCGAGAAAAGAAATCACGTTATGATCCAGGCAGCAACCTCATCTCCCTACCACTTCCCATCATGCCGCTGTTAGCTGACATCACAGTAGCTACAGAGTCATGGAATACCATCTGAAAAGGGTAGACTCGTTTTTAAAAAGAAAAAGAAAAAAGCACTTCCTATATCTGGATAAAATTAGTTTGGGGCATAGTTTAAAATAGATGCATCCACATATACAGGTAAATGGCAACTACATAGAGAATTAGTGACCAAGTTAGAAGTAGTCAAAATATATACATTCTTCCCCTTCAATACTATGTATGATTCAGCAAAGAGAAAAAAATATTAATATGAGAAATGAAAACGGCCCTGGCCCGTGTGGTGCAGTTGGTTGAGCATCAATCACCCCATGCACCCAAAGGTCGCTGGTTCGATTCCTGGTGAGGGCACATGCCCGGGTTGCAGGCTCCATTCCCAGTAGGGGGCGTGCAGGAGGCAGCCGATCAATGTTTCTCACATCAATGTTTCTCTCTCTCTCCCTCTCCCTTCCTCTCAAATCAGTAAAAACATTAAAAAAAAAATGAGAACGAGCCTGATGAATATCCTACTTCTGAATCCATACCACATCACACAAGCCAAATTCAAGGAATCCTGCAAAGTGCATGTATTTTCTCGGACCAGCACATGCCACAGCCATGTGTCCTGGAGAGCAGGGGACACAGTCCATGGACTGTGCATGGATGAGTAATACGCCACCCACATACCTGGGGGCAGCTGTTCTTTTGTAAATATCACTAGAGGCCCGATGCATGAAATTCGTGCAAGGGGCTCAGCCCTCGCAGCCTGGCTTCGTCTGGAAGGTTGTCCAGAAGGTCGTTCGGCTGTCCGGTCTAGTTAGCATATCACGATTTTATTATTATAGATTCCCAACTATGACATCAAGACTTCACACTGTGCCACCCATCTTCTATGAAAGGGCCATAAAATTCTCAAAGCTGAGTGACCTCACACCCAGGGAGTGGGTACGTGTATTTTTGTGTAGCACATTTGTGTGGAAAAAGACAACTGTAGACAAAATGCAACCCTACAACAAGACCGTCCCTCCAAACACATGCAAACAGCACCCTCGCGAGTCCGTGCGTGTAAGGGTTTGATTCACATGGATAAGGCGGTTGTCAGAGTGAGGCAATAGAGCAGGCAGGCTAAGTAAATCCATACCCTTCCATCTTTAAAAGATCAATCAATACCTAGATAGACAGGTATCTGTACACCGTATGCATTGATACATATATGCCATTTGTTCTATCCTTCTGATACCTCTGAGAAAGTAGAATTTTAAATAACAGATTGTTTCACTAAATATTGACTTAAAAATCTACAGACAAATTTTAGAACAGTACTGAAAAGGGCACTAAATTGTCATTTTCCTGAGTTATTAAGGAAAGTACCTCCCTGGAACTTCCTGAGGGCAACGGAGACAGAGTTAAATAGAAAATAAGGAATACTCTGAATGAAAAAGAGGGAATTAAGAAGAGGTGGGGGAGGCGTGTTCCCACTCCGGGCTGAGCCCCCATGCACGCTACCTTTTACTGTGCAGCTGAATTCTCGTCCAGTACAGAGGCTTCATGGGCCGGCAAGGCTCTATGGGCTGCTTCCTACTTCCTCTGTCCTGGCTCATCCCTAATCCAAACCAGCCGGTTGGCAGCGGCGGGGGAAGAAATCCGCACACGTGTGGTGCTGGTAAAGTGCTACCTCCGGCTTGTGGGGGACCAGGGCCAGGAAGCAGAGCAGGTGGCGGTGGGGCTGTGGGGATGCCAGTTCCAGGACCAGGAGGGGGAGGTGGAGCAGGTGGGATACCCACACCTGGCAAAGGAGGAGGTGGGGGAACCCCAAGTCCAGGCAGAGGAGGGGGAGGGGGTATTCCCACCCCAGGAAGAGGAGGGGGAGGGGGTATTCCCACCCCAGGAAGAGGTGGGGGAGGGGGTATTCCCACCCCAGGAAGAGGTGGGGGAGGGGGTAGTCCCACTCCAGGAAGAGGAGGGGGAGGAGGTATTTCTTCACCAGGCAAAGGTGGGGGAGGGGGCGGCAGCATTTGCGTACTAGGCATAGAAGGAGGTGTACTGGGTGGGGGAGGGGAGGGAGCCCCCGTGCCCACACCAAAGGTGGAGCCGGAAGACGCTGTGCAAGGCAGAGGTGGTGGGGGTGGGACGCTGAGGCTGTGTCCAGAGGGCGATGCAACAGACTGCTCATGGCTGGTGTCCAACTCAGTCTGAAGAGAAGGCTGGGAAGACTGTGGTCTGGCCTGGCCTTGACCCTCAGCCCAGGGCAAGGGTGGAGGCGGTGGAGGCTGCACCGGCTGATGGGCATCCAGCTGCACTATTTGCCTTGGAGACACCAGCAGAGAAATCTCTGAGCAGAATTTTGTCTGAGGTCCGGACGGTGAGGGGCCCTCTGGCAGTGTCGTGGCAGGAGGCCGCGTGGGTGGCCCGCCCTCCTCGGTCGGGGACGTCTGGATGGACTTGGCCTGTAAAATCCTCTGGTGCCGGCCATGCTCTTCTCCTAACCTGAGAGCTGCAAGACAGACATCGTCCGAGGGTGCCTCTCCGTTCTGAACCCCAAGACGGCCGCCGGCCACCTCCGCGTCCATGGCAGGGTACTGCTTCTCCAGTTCAGCTATTTTGGTCCTCAGATCCTCAATGGTCTGCTCCAGCTGCTGAATCACAGTGGCCTGTCCCTCAGATCCAATGTCTGTAACTTCCTGAAGGCAACAAAGACATAGTTAAATAGAAAGTAAGGAATACTCCAAAAAAACGGACAGAATTAAGCAAAAAATAGATTTAAATATTGTAGATATCCCTATGGGCACGAGCATACACCTTATGCACACGTTTCAGGCCATGTATGTCATGTTGACTCCGATTTTAACGTTTTGCCTAAGGCAATGTATGGGTCACCCTCATGTCTAAATGGTTCAAGTAACCCTTGTTGTTGAAAGAAATTAAAAAGAAACCTAGTTTACTTCTTAAATAATTGTTTATTGTGGTTATTTCTTTTACCATGGACAATTTAGAGAATATCTGGCGTGCTTTCCCAAGCTATGTATTGAAATACTTTATATATTTGTATAGACGTTAGTGAAAAATAGTGACCCAGTCAGGGAACATAGGGGAGGCAACTAATCAATGATCGATGTTTCCCTTTCACATCCGATGCATGCTGTCTCTCTCTCTCCTTCCCTCTCTCCTTCCCTCTTTCTAAAATCAATAAACCTATCCTCGGGCGAGGATGAAAAATAAAAGACTCCTGTTCATTTTCATTGGTGCAGATTTTTTAAAAAAAAGCATATAATGCCATGATATAGGACATCTTTTATAAAAAGATGGTCAACTTTTGTAGTATTTGAGAACGTCATCAGTTTCCCCAACGACCTCTTGACCATTCTGAAGGTTTCAGAGAGAGAATTGTTTTTCTAGAGATAATTATTATAGACAGAAAACATGGGGGGCAAGTTGGGGGTGAGACTAGCTGCTTGTTACATAGTCCTGACTGTAGAGAGAACAAAACTCCATGTGCTAAAATCTTTATTCCTCTCCACGGCTCTATCTTTACCTGCAAAACCCCAGCCCTCAATCAAGGTGACCATCCTCCTCGTCCATCCCAGGGAAACAGCAATGAAGCTCATGTCAAATCCGAACTGCCTGCCTAGCCCAGTGGTCGGCAAACTCATTCGTCAACAGAGCCAAATATCAACAGCACAACGATTGAAATTTCTTTGGTGAGCCAAATTTTTTAAACTTAAACTATATAGTTAGGTACATTGTTATTAACTTAATTAGGGTACTCCTAAGGCTTAGGAAGAGCCACACTCAAGAGGCCAAAGAGCCGCATGTGGCTCGCAAGCCACAGTTTGCCGACCACGGGCCTCGCCTGTCAAGGAGGGCTGGCCGTCCATTCTTACAGAGCAGCCAGCTGGATGCAGGGTTTCTGCTTCTGAAGGCAGCTAAGCGTCTTCAAAGAATCTTATCTGGCCTTCCTTATCCAGGGCTATCAGCACCAAGTCACCGCCGCCAAGACGCTGTCTGTAGAATTCTCTAGAGAGGCTGCCTTGCTTGTCAGCAGGAAGAGCTGATTTCTACACGGGTTATATAGAATTTTTCCCAGAGGTTTATTAAAAAAAAACTTACATGGTAAACATGATCGAAGAAAAATGCTGTCTGTTCTCTGGCCATTTCAGCAAACATCCTCCCTCCTCTCAGGGCCCACCCACAGACAAGCCCGGATTTCATCTCGAAGCGTCTGCCAGGCGCTCCGCTGTCCATGGAAAGACCTGGGGTTGGGAGCCTGCTCCCTCGTGTCCTGGGCCTGGTACTTAATCTCCCATCCCTTCAGGGTACAACTCGACAAGAGGCCCATCAGCTCCTCAGAGCACTCCACACGAGAGAAATGGACTACTGCTCTCTCTTCTACACTTTTCGAAAAGACTCTCACAGCGTTTCCAGGAACTGTGTGCGTTTCCCCAAGGCTAATGTCTCTCACTATTAAAAATTAAAATGAATGCATTTCTAAAAGGGAAAAAAAGTGTCTTCGTAATTTTGGACAGAATTGATCTAATGGGTACATCCTTACAAATGCAGGAAACAGGCATCTATTATAGAGAGACAACACAGAATGTAATATACTTTACAGGTTGCCAATTTCAATACGATTTGTACTTAAAAGTATTATTTCAAACGTCTAAACCATTCTAAGTGGTGGAGGCTGCCATCTGCGCTGGCTGGACAGTATGTGCAATCGGTCGGCCAACATTCCTCCATTCCCGCATAATCTTATACGTGGGTGGTGATGGCTAGTTCTCACAAATTGTTTACACATTCACAGAATGCAAGTTGCCATGAAAAAATAAAATGTTCGCCCCAAATATTTCTCTAAATACAAGATTATCTGATTCCTAGAAAAAAAGGAAAACATTAGCATAACGTTAAGGCTAAAACTGTCAAAAAGGAAGCCAAGATACACTCAAAGAAAGCTTTTGCCGAAAACTTAACTTGTTCGTCTTTGAAACTTTATTATTTTATGTCAGCAAGATCCTTTCAGAGACTAGAATATCAAAGCCACTTACTGGTAAGTTAACACTGCAACCATTTACTTTGTAAATGCTAGTGAGATGTGTAATTAATTTTTCTCGTTAATTATATGAAAGTTATATTCAGATTGTCAAGTTCTGGTAAATTCTAAGGCTACATGACTGGCATTCTAGGACGCATGACTGGCTATCATAGCACATCTTTTTAAAAATATTTTTTATTGATTTCAGAGAGGAAGGGAGAGGGAGAGAGAGAGACAGAAACATCAATGATGAGAGAGAATCATTGATCAGCTGCCTCCTGCACGCCCCTCACTGGGGATCGAGCCTGCACCCCGGGGGCCAAAGAATAAAAAACTGACTTGAGCCGAAACCGGTTTGGCTCAGTGGATAGAGCGGCGGCCTGCGGACTGAAGGGTCCCAGGTTCGATTCCGGTCAAGGGCATGTACCTGGGTTGCGGGCACATCCCCAGTAGGAGATGTGCAGGAGGCAGCTGATCGATGTTTCTCTCTCATCGATGTTTCTGACTCTCTATCTCTCTCCCTTCCGCTCTGTAAAAAATCAATAAAATATATTTTTCAAAAAACCGGCTTGAAAGGCAGTCCTATTTCAGTTTTATAAAATCATTCTTTAGACGGCAGATTTTCAGAGCATGTTACTTAATATTAAAACAATCAGTATACAGCCCTGGCTGGTGTGGCTCAGTGGATAGTGTCGGCCTATGGACTCAAAGGTCCCGAGTTCGATTCTGGTCAAGGGCACATGCCTGGGTTGTGGGCTTCTCCCCCCCCCCCCCTTCCTCTCTGAGATCAATAAAAAATAAAGTAAACCAATGGGTAAACTGAGGTCCTGAGAATGCAGTTTCGCTTCCCAGCTTCCTCGTTCCAGGGGCCACAGCGAAGCCGGGGGCAGGGCTAGCAGCTGCATTTGCTTTAAGCATCAGACTCCCTGGCAACAC